CCGACTTCAATGCAGCTACGGAAATACGAACTATGTCACAGAAACCGACTGACAGTTGCGAATGCGTGTGCACGAACACAAGTTGTCAGTTTAGGCTCGATACCGGGGGTTGACATGCCTCCCAATTAGGTGAGGCGCACTCCCAACTCTTGCTTTGTTGAATATATTGGGCGTGGCGACGATCGGCAGTCCGAACTCGACAAGTGACGGCGCCCACCACGCGCTCCACAGAATGGGCGCAGCACCCGGGACTTGTGCGTAAAGTGGTTTACAGGGAGTCAGACATGCACAACATCTACAGCGCTCTCTCTCTCCTCCCTCTCGCTCCGGCAACAAGACGAATGGAGGTAGGTGCAGGCGCAGGGCTCTACAAGGCCAACCAGCCCACCTACCCGTGTCGCACGCCAGTGACAGAACGATCAACAGTAGACTACAGCATAACACGTCAAAATTGCGCTGTGAGGTAGATTGGATAAAAAGGGCAAACGTCGCCGCATCAGACTGCACGAGCGTCAGCTTGCAAGTAACCGCGAAGGCAGACACAGCAGGCGGAGCCACGGTTTCACAGGCCGGGTCAAAAAGAAGATAGCCGGGATTCGAACTCGGAATCCTCAATTCGCGTCCAGCATGGATTATTCTATGTCTGGTTCTGCGCTTCGCCTCGGTTACCGTTCATAATTACGTTTTTTTGACGGCGCACGGAGGTTTTAATAGCAGTCTTTAATCACAGTCGCGACTCCTTGCGTTTTCCCACTTTGCTTCTGGTCTGTGCTGTTCATGTAAGTGTGCGGGTGTTGAGCCTCGCGATTATGGGGTAAGGTCGAGGTCAGTAGGGTAAAATGTACGACAGCGGAATGAGGAAATTATTGTCTTCGTAACCAGGTGTTGCTGTCGCTCCTGGTGGCTGTGACCATTGACGAGGCCAGGGGGCGCGCGTGTTGTGTGCATTGAGTCGTGTCTGAGAGCCTGCTGTGACAGCTACGTCAGAGCCAGACCCAGACTGCTTGCGCTGCATGTTCTGCTCGGAGACTTTGCCTAAACAAAGTAGTTAGCCATGTGGAGAGCGCGCAAATGATTACTGTTCCTGGTGCCATTTTCGACGAGCCCGACTGTCCAAGCACCCCAGCGGAAAATGAAGTTCCTGCGTTAGTAACTCGATTGTGGCAACCACCTGCAATGAATGCGGTAGCCGACATTTTGACAGGCACGCAGGCGCATAGCAACTACATGCTACAACACCTGGACACTCAGACCATTATCGCACCACATGCGACTTTCTGCGATGTACTCGGAAGCTGCCAATTTTAATAGGCATGCAATGGCATAGCCACTACATCTTGCTAATACCGCCGCACCCTATGCGACCCACTAACCTTATCTCGTATTGTCTCTGACGATGGATTTGAGTGAGAATCAGAAACGTCAGGCTAATAACGCTCTAGTTTCGGCGATCGTGTCTCCTTCTTCGCCTTGTTCTCATCCACTCTGATGGCGTCATAACATCCAGCACTAAGGCCAGCCTGCCTTGTAAATTTTTTCGCAGCGTTCAAGTGCGTCCGTCATGAGTTTCTGGGGCAGATTGTTGAACTACATGGTACAGTACCTGTGCTAACTCATGAAATGTCACGAATTAACACAGGTTAACGCCTTTAACGCAAAATCGGTAAACACTACGGCTCCCAAAGTCTGATAGCGGAAAATAAACGATGTGCCAAAGAAATAAAGCAAAGTTTGGTTAAGAAAATATTATTTACTGAGATAAAAATAAATAATTTTCGACAAAAGTCACATTTTCGAGAAACGCCTATATTACAACTAAGTTAATAAAGGCTACGTATGAGGACACTTCCACACTTCGTGGTTGGGTATGACTGGCTGACGATGGCTAATAAGCCAGAAATGGCCATTCCAGTCTTCCTTGTCTTTGTCAATAATGCTATTCTATTGAATTTTCAGTCGGGCGGCGGTTGACTGAGATAAAGTGCACTGAAGATATCGCTCCGCTCGCAACAAGCCTTGATGACTTAACGACTGTGTCGCGGAGGGCTGAAGTAGTTAAATCAGCCGGTTCGTTCATATACAGGTCTCCGCAAACATTCCTATTTCTATAGCGAAGCAATGGGGTGAATTCAGTGTTCTTTGAAGAATTAAAAGGCGTTCTTAAATCGTTTTTGGAACGAATGGAACTGCACATGGAACTACCCATGTTCTGGTACGTCATTAAACTGTTTCTTGGCTCAAATCATTCGGCTACTTATAAGTACTAGATCACTTAAAATTTCTGGTCCTTTGACACTTCTAAATCCCACTTAACCTGGAAAATCCGCACATCGAGCGCCCGAGGATGTGTGCGAACAGCAATTCAATCGCGCTCGGGACTACTGGGACGTACGCTTTGTGAAAATACTAATGAACTTTACATTCGCCCTGCGCACAGACAGGGCGAAGCTTAAGTGCAAAATTTTTCAGTGCGTGCGCCGAGGTCTGTGGGTGGGAGAGCAAATGAAACTCCTGCAAATGTGAATAAAACTTGCCGCATCTAAGGACTAACCAGAGTTGGCCGACTATCCGTTCTATACACGACTATCGTGATATTCAGCGGCCAAATTAAATAGGGCCTCTACAAACACCCCAGGATTAAAACCCACCCCAATCTCAGCCATTCAAACTCCGTTAACTAGCTTCCCCTTTTCGGTTTTGCGTTGGGACCATCCCTCGCCCCCAACTCTTCATCTAAGTATTCCGGATACATGGCCCACGACTAATCCATGCGAGGAAACGATGGTCCACTAAAGCGATTCTCCCTCAAGCAAGGGAACCAAATGCCTGCTCGTCACCGTCGAAAAGCCCGTCCGTCCTATCTTCTCTTCTAGGAAACATTAGCTAAGCCCAGGGACAATCAGCCAAGGGAGGCCTGTGATGTACCATATGCTCTCTGTCTTTCCAAGCTGTTCACTTCAACCGTGTAACTGAGATGCAGTGGCCCTCGAATGGTCTAAGACGGCGTTGAAGTTGTGAACATGATTTAAACACACTTCATTGTAAACAGAGGAAACTGGCTCACTGTTACGCGCTGATGGGTGGAGGTAAACGAGGAGAGCCGAGGGATTCCTTTGATTCTGACAGCCACGGAAGCGTGATGCCGGAATCGCAAGAACCCCCATTACCCGACTTCTAACGGCTCTAGAGCACCCTAGACCTGGTGGTCGCGAATTGGCTGTTTCGCACGCAATAACCTTCCGTCCCCCAGTGGACAAATCCCGAATGTTTGGCCAGCCACTAATCGGGCCGCCGCATAACCAAAAGGCATCCGGGTCATCCGACGATACGGCACAGACTGGCTGGCTAACGGCCTGCGCGTATCCAGTGGCGATTTAGTTTGTTGTTTTAGGCGGTCGCACCTTCGCTTCGCACTAGGCGGTGACATCCAGTCCCCCGCTATTACACTCATACACCCCCAATCTCGGCCACAATAGTAAGGGCGGAGTATACCTTAAGGTTAGCCAAGCCATTCGTGGTAGGAATCGAGTCAGTAGGTACCGAGGGCCATCTGCGACTGCATTCTTTGCATCAGATTACTTGTGGTAGTGCTGGAGAATGTTACGCTGCAGTGCCGCATGGACCGGAAGCCAAATACCATCAAGAAATTTCAACTGAAGACAGTCCCAATATTGTTCAGCGAGCTCAGATCTCGGTCCGACGTCATCACGCAAAACTTTACCTACACCACGAAGTGAGGTATTTGCGCAATCGTCGATAATGAGCAAACGAACCGGACTACCACCAGTCTTTGGACCGGTATATCGCGAAATTCATGTCAAACTGAGGTGCCGAAAAATCTAAGTTGACTTAAAATCCTTTTTGTGGGAGTGTGTAACAAATTATGGTCCATACACCGACGCCTGTCAATTGTGGGGTAGCTTGCGTAGCTACAGCCGCCTGGACCGGTAATCGTTCCTAAGGCGGTGGTGACGCTCGGTGGGTGATTTGCAGTATTGCGCTTCCGAGGGTATTGTTGCTCGGTCAAGACGATGCTGCAACCGAGATGCGTTTCGTCCATGGTTGTGCCCTTCCCCAAGCGTTCTGTCAGTTTACTTTGCCCAACCGTAGAACACCAACACCCCGTCCTTCCAAGCATGCCTTGCATTGTGACGTCGGGTCCCAGTTTTTGCCCTTTCTCACTTAAAATTCTAAGCTCCTGCTACCGTTTGACGATGGTTGGAATTGATAAGATTACTGAGTTGAAAGGACTGCATTGTTCATTGGTTTTTGCCTCTTTTAGCTCTGCTTATCTCATGCATATTGTTTGATGAGACACACTGTTTTCTGACATCCATTTCATTTAACATCTGGCGCATTGACGACCGGTGATGGCCATGGAGCGGGTGTCCGTGTCTACCCACCTTTATGGTGGGCAGTTGATGAGCGGTGGGAATCACACGGGGTAGGACAGCCAAAGGGCCTAATAATAGAGATGGACGATAGGCGTAGTATGCACTGGCACTAGATCGGCAGTGTGGGCTCGGTGACTGTCACAAATCCAGACGAACAAATGAGCACCAGTTGTTGTTGTTGTACCACGGGAGACAAACTAGTGGTTTTTGGAGGAAAGAAATGCAACAAGCAATAGAAAAAGACAGTCCCCTCTCGCAGTTTGGCAAAACGACCCAAACGTCATCAGGGACAGAGGGAGGATCAGACCAGACTGTGGGTACTGGTCAAGGGGGGGTGGGGTGCGCCTCTAACGCCCGCACGTGAAGGAATTTTCAGACGGTCTATGGGCAGGAGTATCAAACATGGGCTGGCGCACGCGATTCCGGTGTGTGCGGATTGTGGGACGGGGAGGGATTAGGAAAGGCCTATTTACAAGGGGCGTCGAGCTCGAGTTGCTCACGCATAAGGAGTGCGAAATAAGAGTAAAATTGACGGTCCATGGGACAGGGCTTGGCCGCGCAGTAAACCGAGAGGCAACAACGGCAGCAAAGGGTCCCTTGTAGACACTATTTTCTGCGACTGGATGAGGACACACCAGACGACCGGCGATGCGTAGGCGAGGGAGTGCGAGAACGAGATCGCCGCGAACGACGACTCGATGCCGGAGATTTGCAGGAAGAGCGAGCCTGTAGCGGTGTATAAATGGGATAGGCGTCACAGCAGATGTGAGCGATGACAATAAAAAAAGGAACATGCTCTTATGTGGATAGAAAGTGAGTTGGAGGTTATGGGAGTTCGGATACATTTGCGGCGCGTCGGCCAACTCACCGACCGATTTACTGTAAAGTGAAAACAGTATGAATAGAACTAGTGTCCGATCACCTACTTAGCGGGTCAAGGCTGGGCTCCTACTGGCCTGAGACATGTGCTGACCAGGTCGTGCTAAGTTCATGGGTCCTAGACTAATACCTTAATTACGTGTAGCGGGCGTCAGACATGGGCTCGCGCCACGTCAGGCACCGCGCCCAATCTCATTGTCCTACCAAGAACAGGCCACAGATAAAAAATATAGAAGACTGAGACAAGTACTGATGGCAACTCAACGCCAAGTCCGACATGTTCACAACTAACGTGAGGCATTAAAAGTCATGGCCTGTGAGGGGGAGGAGTGCTAATTTACGGAATAACTCTGTCCCCCCTTGGAACGACTGCCAGACCGAAGTGGCTTCTTTGAATTAGGCTCTAACACAACCTTTCTCGTATATGAGATACAGCGCGTGGCCGATCTCATGAGACGTTGGCCGAAATTCTGAAATGCGTTTTCAACTAGGAAGGATTAATAAGGTGGCGCTGTAAGATTAACTGTTATGCAGCATAATCCTGTAGTATTTCGGACTCGCCAGGATGTCCGATTGTGAATGCAATTCTGACTTCTCGCAGAAACCGCACTTGACAAAAAATGACTACCTAAGTAGCATGCCTTTGTGCACATTGATTTGGGATGGTCTTATATATTCAAACATATTTTATAGAAAACAAATACAAAAATATGCTTTTTACTCGTTTAGTAGAAAACCACACTGGATTTATATTTTGTACCCTAAGGAAGGTTATCTTTTGGTTTTCAAAAGGTTTCTAATTGTGAGATTTTTAAGATCGTGCGATGTCCACATATACAGCATCGCACGTGTCCGTTTACCAATGTTCCCCGTGAAGTGTACAACACATCGCGTATCCATTGCAAAATCTTATTAACTCCATACAGTATCCTTCTAAAGGCATAGAGGAATATATGATTTTCCTTACGCTGAACACATGAAACTTGTAGACTGAAATCGCTAAACGCTGATGCAACGGCTGATCAGGCTCAAAATTATTCGGTAATCGGGAAACTTTTTCAAAACCTCAATATACAATTTTTCCGGGTATAGAATGTGAAGACAATGTGGTTTTCTACTAAACGAGTAGAAAAAGCACATTTTTGTGTATGTTTTCTATGTTGCATATGTATGATAAGAGCATTCCAAGTCGATGTGCACAAATGCATGCTACTTAGGTAGTCATCTTTTGCTCAGTGCGGTTTATGCGAGAAGTCAGAACGAAGTGCATTCAAAATCGGACATCCTGGCGAATCCGAAATACTATAGGATTATACTACATAATAATTAATCGTGGCCCGCTAAAAGCCGGCGCATGGAAGGTAGCTAGGTGACGAAATGCTAGGCTGCAATGGCTCCTTAATGGTACTCCGGCTCGTTTAAGGTCCGAAATCCTGACATTGAAAACAGGTGAAGGTGTGGAGTAGCAGGTGTGGAGTAGCAGGTGTGGCGCGCGTATAAGTGGCTTCAGCCCCGGCAGTCACTATGTCCGCATTCAGCCCAAATCAGCTCGACTGGGGGGGGGGGGATATGGTGGGTGTGAAGTCAGACAAATCAACTTTAATACAAACAAATTCACGAGCAAGTAACTACTGCGTCCTCCCCTAGACATTGAGGCTGCCTGTCGTCTGGGAAAGACAATATCGGTAGAGTGGTTCACTTTGTTGGATCAGTAGCCATACGGAGTTGGTTTAAAATTAATCCAGACACCTGCATATGGAATTCCGCCCGGTCTACTGATTACCCGAACACCAAGTTTGATGCGGTGGTGAGGACCGCAAGCTACAAAGGATGAAATGTCAGAACAGGAACGGATGCAACTAGGCGTTCGATTTGGCAAGACAGAAGACTGGTCAAACGCCAAAACTGCAGATTTCCTTATCCGAGATTCTAAACCCTTAATGTAGTTCAAAAACAGGGATCAGATATCGGTAAAAAAACAGGCGACATTTGCGAGGCCACCAGCGGATTTATTACAAACCCGGGAGCGCTCGCCCAACCCAACCTGTTTTAAGTGGTCTTTTACGAAAGAATTACCCCCCTCCAAAAAGTTCGGTGATTTTTGAAAATAAAACTTGTTGACCAAATCTTTGCTGAGAATGACCCCAGGGAGCATTGTATCCCTAAAGAACTTAATTAAAAATGGCATTACTAATTTCTTACCAGCTAAGACTAATCATTCAGCATGCACCGATTGCGGCGGGCATTGTAAAAGAGTATTGGAGTAGGTTCAGGTAAAAGGGTGGTTACTCAACTAGTCACAATATGGACTGTAAGTCGATTCAATAAACTTACTTTTAATATTGTTGAGCGCATAGGCCTGTGCTTAGTGAGGTTGGTGTGTACCACAATGAGCGAAGGTGACGACCTTTGCGACTTAGTAAGTCAGCTGTGTGAGAATAATGGTTTTACGCATGCAGCGCAAGAACGACTAAACGAAGCAGATGGAGTTCGCTTACGTGGGACAAACTTGTGAAGCTTACAATTCCGACAAAGGCATTTATACCAAATGTCGACTTGGAGCGCTACATTATAGGCCGCTCAGTCTTTCGTTAATCCAGAAACGGAAGAAGCAACTAACTTTGGGAGCTACTGGAGGAGAATTCCACGCTGTTTACGCGTCATGCAAGGTTTAGTTGGAGATCATAATTTTGGAACGTCTGGGTGGGCCCTACTATCTAGCACCGGCTCTATCTCTCATGAGATACCTTTTGCAGGAAGCACCGTCCCACTCGTCACTTATAGTGTCGATGATATTTTGTTAAGGTTACGACGTTCGATCTTAGCTACCTAAAGTACACGCATTAAAATTCTACTTAACGAAATATATTTCTTGTTTAGTCTTCCTGTGCTAAAAACCAGCGATTACCAAAAGAAGCGAAGAGACGAGTCCCAGGAAGCAGACGTGAAGGAGACACGATCGCTGGGACAAGGGCTTTATTAGCAGATACGTATTTGCTGTTGTCACTGGTGATGGGTTCGGGCAGGAATCCGAAACGTCAGGCTAATAAAGCTCTCGTACCAGCGATCCTGTCTCCTTCTTTACAAAATCAACGATTAGCTGGCCGCCCGTCGGGGTATGTTACGTATTTAAGCGCTCTTCAATCATGTCTGTCATGTTGGATAGCCTAACGGCTGGCAAACGCTTTGGAAAAACGTTAAAGGCCACGCGTGAACTGTGGCAATATTACCTCCCCAGAATCGCGATGCCGACCACGGCGGATGCTGGAACTGTGGACAGAGAAGCTGTCATCGTCGGAGGCCTCGCCCTCCTCAATCTCCTCACCGGCGCTGCTACCGCCACCACCTTCAGTCCAGTTGGCAGGTCGGGAGCGTTTAGAGGGAGGTACTGGATGGTCGGGATCGGTGTCGTCGTCCTCCGACGAACTCGATCGCCGCCGTGGCGGTTGCCGCTGATCACGATCCCGCAGTGAGCGCGGCGGTGATCGGTCGCGTTGGGAGGCATGGTGTTCCCGAGAAGACTTGTGTTTATGTCGCTTGCTTGACGAGGATAACGAGGTTGATCCAGCAGCACTGTCGCCCCGGTTGGTGGAGGAGCGGCTCTTGGAGGAGCCACCACCGCTGCCGGATTTAGACTTCTTTGTGGACGGTGAGTTGTCTGTTGTGGAACCAGCAGCATCATCCGTCTCAAGTCGATCAAGAAGTCGGTCGCGATAACGTTGTACTTGCTGCAAAGAAAGGCGTGCAAACGCAGGTGGATAGTAATTCAGGCATGTTAAAGAGGTAAATACTTCAGCAAAATCGTATTATGCTCTTCCGGCAAGAGAATAGAAAATGCTTAAGCAAGTTACAGGTGGTTGAGTAATGTGAGAGCGTGTTCCATGAATATCAGCCCTGAAACCCCAATAGTATATTAACTAATGATTCATTGTTTGTCGTGACTACGGTATGTGCCAAGTCACAACTCGGGAGGTATGGAGCGTGAACATACAGCACTTTGGTAGTGTCGGGTATCGCTACCGCCCCAACGATGCGGACCGTGGTTTAAACGCCGCGGCCGCCCGCCATGAGGTTTACGTACGGCTGGCCGACAATAACAAAATAGGCAATAATCGTCGTTCTGTCTCCCCTAGTCGGAACATCTGCTGAAAAAGACCGGCGGACAAAACGCGCAGCAGACTTACCGTAGCAATGGCTTCATCCGCGACCGAAGAGTCACCACTTTTACGACTGGCCTCCAGTTCATCCTGGTACTTGACCACTTTAACTTCGATCTCTCTCAGGAGGGCTCGGCGTGACTCAGAGATGGCGCTGGAGGATTTTGCAGCTGAAGCGGATGACACCGACTGCGAAGCAGATGGTGGTGGAGGGGAGGGCGCTGCAGGTGACAGGGCATCGTCATCATCGTAGGCGACAAGACCTAAACCAGCCGCGCCGAACTCGTCAAGGGGCCTGCAAACAACGTGCAACAAGAGTTGAAATGTTCGGACATGTTGGTCGGCGCAAGGCTAGTAACGCTAATAAGGGCGGAAACAACTACCACAGACAGCCCCGTGCTTATGCTCTTCAACGCGATTCATGAAATGAGACTGCGGCCGAAGCACTATTGACATAAATTTGAAAAACCGAAGAACTACATGCAGCGGATCAAAGTTGACATAAATTAGATATAAGAAGAATGAAACAAATATTTCAGATTGGCAATTTTAACTGCTTAGCGATTAAATCGAACTTCCTGTGTTAACGAAGCAAGTATAAGTTGAACGATGCAACAGAAGGATCGTACGTAGATGACAAGTTAATGAACCCGCAAACGCGCTTCAAGAGAAACTCGGGAGAAGTTCGTGGATTTATTAAAGATTAGAGGCAGGAATAATTTTGTGCATTGCCGAAGCGAATTGGCGGCGAGGCTACGTTAAACACGTGGGAGTACCTCTTTCCGAGAAACTGCTCTTAAAGTACACCACGCGAGATTCTCAGGAAGGTTGAGTGTGACGGAACAGGACGGCCACACGTAGAAGACAAACAACTTTCACACAGGAAAGTGATAGGCCACGAGCTAGTTCGGGTAAAGTTAAAAAGCACAACTACACCACAACCGAACTTAACTATAACTGCGCTGGCTAACACTGGATGCGACTCAACACCGGACTAACACATTTTTGATGGGACTATCTTGCACTGCAATGATAGAAAATGTTAATGGTTTCTTCTTGCTAAACAACCGCGTTTTTCTAAGGACCATAGTACACAGTCATCATTTAAAGTAAGTACTTGGTCGAGATGGAAAGCACTTTTGGAAGAGCGGAGTCGGTAGTGAATATTATCTGCCTAAGGGGCACCGAGCAAATTTTACGAGACCAGGGCAAAGATATAAAAAAAAACTACGAATCCCGCCGCCACGACAACAGCTGTGATGAACATTCAGAAACGAATAAGCCGTTTGCGAATTTCCAAGGTCCTGTGTAACGGATTTGTCCACCAATCACTCTCTCGCTCGCGAGCGTGGATGCACTTCCACTCACTACACGTCTGAGCCTGCCTAAGAGAGGCACTTGAGCGGATGACATTACGCCACTTGACGACTCAATCACCTGATGCGGGCGCCACCGAGACGTGAATGCAGGAAATCGAGCATGAGGCAAGCATTGCGCTCGGCCACACCAGCACATGACATGAACTAATCAGGTTACGCCGAGGGGTCTGCACGAGGCCCCAACTATTGCCGTGTAAGTTTGATACGGGTTATAGCAAGAGGCTCCAGGCCACGTCAGCCACTCCACCCAGTAGCATCCTCCGTCGGCTTAACACGGACAAGAACTTGCTGTTCTCGCTAGATAGACAATCAGAAGTGCTTTCAAACCATCGCGACGCACTGATGTCGCAGAATTTAAGTTTCTCAACTGATGAAATAATTCAGTCCTCCGCAGTACCACGAGTCCGACTGCAATGGCTCGTGACCATTCATCTTTGCGAAAACAGGGACCCCCTCATTGAAGCATAATACGTGCGATCTACGGGGACCGGGTATGTGGCAGGCGTAGACGGACTGTCAAGCTTTGTTGTTTTGTAACTGGAACATTTCAGATATGAAAATAATAAAGATGCTGCGCAAGTCTGCCTAACTTTAAACAAACGCATGAACAAGTCAGCATCGCGCTCTCGGGACAGTGGTGCGCTTCTCTGCCTGTGAAGATCAAACTGTTGAGGGCAAACGTTTTAACACTGGAGCTACCGGACATGTACAGTCCGCTGCTATCGCGATATGTGCAGTGTCATATAGGAGTGGAGTTCACTGAGTTGCCTTCATGCCAAGACGGAACACGTCGCGACTTCACTATGCCTTAGAGATCTGGGTTGAGGACCCCCGAAGGCGATTGCTTAGCAGTCAATAATCAAGGCCAACGGCAAAAATCGGGACATCGGAGAGGCCATGTTGGCATGTTTGACGTCATCGGCCGGTGGTACTCCAACGACAGGTGCTTGCACACCCGACATGTAAATGGACTTTTCAGATTATAAAAGGGTACAAAACTAGTTCAGGACATCTAGCGGTCATAAATAGGCGGTCAACACTCCTAAATGGGTGGCGAGCATACGTAGCTTTCGATAAATTCTCGTCGGGCCAGTACAATTATATGGGAAGGGGGTGGAAGTAAAAACACGCCAGTGATAAGATAAATCGATTAAAGTTCGCCTCAAAACACAGGCTGAGTGTGAGAATGTGGGCGGGGGCTGCTAGCAATCAGTGTCAGGGGCGGGGTGAAAGCGGAAGGGCGCGGAGAGTGCAGCGTTAGTCGACCTGCGACCGCTAGGCGCGGTGCCTGAACGTGGTTCTTCTGTGCGCACAACCGTGGTTTTCGCAACCTGATGGCGGCCGCCTCTGCTGTTGCTAACAGGCGCTGGCCCAGTGGTTTAGGATAGCTCGATGGGACCTTATAGATCACACGAAACGCTTCATTGGGGTCTACATGATGTCCGGAATCGACAACATGCGCGAGAATGGCGCTGCTTATGCTCCTAGTTTCGCCTTTTCCCAGCCATGCCGGGAGGTGTTCCCGTATTCTCTTGGATAAGCGCCGACTCGTTTGACAAATATAACCTGCTCCACAGGTGCAAGTGAAGGAATAGATGCACCTTGAAGTGGTCTGGGGTGGCAACTTATCCTTACCTTACCTTATCCTAACATATGGTAATGTACTGAAACCGTAGCACTGTTCAGGTTTTTGTACTGTTATAATTGAAAACTTATAGAACCATTTAATTGGCGTATGAACCTTCTCGAATTGGCTTCCGCCTGCGCCATTGCTTACTATTTTTCTTAACACTTAAATTCCACAAAAGGCTAAATTACATGTTCTTGGAAAGTACGCGGCGATTTTGTGCAATTTTCAGACCACTATATTTCACAATTCCCGTTGCCTGCATATGCACAATTTATAAAATATGGTACGGAAAATACGACGGTTTTTGAGTAACCGGAAGTCAATACTATCTTCTATCTGGAACCCTTCATCCCTAAAGGCAGGGGATTAACAACAGGCCTCTGTACCTCAATTTTTTGTTACAATAATAACATCTCGGCAAAGCAAACCTATCAAAAATGGAAATTAGGAAAACTTACTTTCCATCAACATCCTCATCATCGAGGTTAGAAGGCTTGGTGACCTCCGACTCAGCAGCATCAGCAAAAATATCCCACCGATTTGACGTCACCGCTTCTTCCGCTGCCGACGAGGGATCAACAGACTCCCACTTACTGCGGATAAAGAGTGGAAGCGGGTCGGCTGAAGTATCCGCCCGAGTTGATTTTGTCGGTGGTGAGTGGGCCCTGTAGGGAAATGGGAGTGGTACTGTCACTCCGTGCATAAAGAACAAACTGAATTCCCGCGCGGCAGACCGTTTGCAGCAGCATTTATATTTCAGAACCAGAAGCAAGACAGTTGGAGCCCAACCAACGAATAGCAATGAAGTTAATAAAGTATCAGAGGTAGGTTAAAGGAGCGATAAAGCGCTGTGTGCTTGCGAGGGTCAAGCAGTTATTCGGCCGTTTATAGACAGGCATCTGAGAACCATTTTGCAATGACTACTTGCGCAGTCGGTGGATTTAACTACAAAAACAGAAAACTGCAAGTAGAAGACCCTACCGATACGGAGATCTGGACAGACGACTTGCACCGTGGACTCTCACTTATCATTTGGTCAAAAGGATTAACACAATAGAAGCTTGCATGCTACAAGTAGGATTAGGTGCTTAAAGCCACGCGGGTGGGTAGAGCAACCTACTTGAGCGAGAGTACAATACTTCAGGAGGAATAAGTAACATTTAGGCATGTGAGGACGAATAAGTAGATGCAAGGATCCCTGTGTACACTTCGCAATATTAGGAAATCTGTGTACTGTGGAAGCAAATAGGCAACATTTAACAGCAAATTGTTAGAACCCTCTACGGATATTCAATAGATTGAGGCGAACTGAATCTGCCAGAGAAGAGTCATAAAACGTTGCAGTCGAAAATGTTAAGGCTCCCATTTATTTACACGATTGTCTGGAGGAAACAGGGAGTGCGCGAAACGATGCGAAGAGGGTGGAAGCACTCACGAAGACATCGGCTCGAAACTTACGCGGTATTGAGTGGAACGCCCTCGTAGTCCTCATTTTTGTCACTGTCTAACGGGCTTCCATCAACATCGAGGGGGTCACCGTCGTACTGGACGAGGGGAGCTCCGTCTATTGACTCCACGTTCGAGGCTACAGCACTTGCCGACCTATTCGGGGTGTTGGTCTGATCCAATGGTACCCCAGCAAGTTCGTCCTCCTCAAAGACATTATCATCCTTATTCTGGAACGGTTTAAGGGGGATGAAGCAGCAGGAAGGTGCGCGTTACCAGGGAGACGAATACAGCATTCGAAGAGTAGGCATCAGGAGGAGGGGCGCTTACATTGTTTAAAAGTCCAAGGAAGATGTTTTGCAATTGAATGAGAAAGTCGTTAGAGTAAATTGTCCACTCCTCCCAGGCTCTGAAACAAAGCATAACTTTTTGCTAAAAAGGTGGGTTATTAACAGCGACAAGGCCGAAATCGTTACCTTTAGTTGTTCAGACTTCATTTTGCTGTCCAGGTCCCGATAAAAATCACCAATATTTGTGAAAATTTCCGGAAGGCGGAGCTCAAAGCTGAAAGGAAAAGGAAGTACTATTCGTCAACAAAATTACGGAAAAGGCACGAGTATAGCGTGCCGGACGATAAGCGGTAAACGTCGGATACAGACACACATAAGAAGGACGACTGCAAATCCACACGTTTGGCACGAGGGTAGATCCAGGCATAGATAAGCTAAAACAATGGCCATTCAGATGCCGAGGACATAGTCGTTACTTTTAAGAACTTAACTATATTTTAATCACACCGGTTAAAAGTGCACACGGCGGTCTATAGAGGGTGCCCTAGCAATTATATTTCACAAATGGCATTTTCCCTTGTGAAAAACACAGCTGAGGACAACTTAGCAGTCGATGAGCTCACGCGCCGGGTATTAGGAGACAATGCCCATATAAGAGGATAAATCTTAGTAAGGATCCAATTTTCTGAGGAACTACTAACTACTTATCACCTGAAAACGGAGCAGACCAATCTAACAATTCACTGCTATTATTTACTCAGTTCCGTTTCGGCCAGTGAACATTCTTTCAGGCAGACGAATTTCGTGTACATTACTTTGCCACTGACCCAAATAAAGGTGCAACATGCGCGAGCCGGAGTGCATGGGTTAGGAGTCGGTCTAGGGCGCAACAGTCCCTCCAAATGTCAGGCTGGTGTGAGGTTGACCAACTCCTGGTCTCGCACGAACTTGACTTTCCCAAATGCTGCCCGAACCTCTGGAACCTTCAGTGGCCATTACAGCAAAATCACAAAGTAACACCCAAAATCCTCTAACATCCTGTTGATTGTGAGAAGAGCTATGTCTAAAACAAAGTCCTCCTGCTTGTGACACCGACGCCTGCTCAAGAGCGCTTTGTATAAAAGGCCATATAAGTAGGTTAATTGTAGAAACAATTTCAAGACACACAACCTTATAGTCAACCAGGCCTCTGTTTGAGGTAATTCTCATGGGCCTGGCGGCATCACAATTACAAGCTACATGTCCAGCACAGTTGTGGGAACTCAAGCAACAATTATGCTGTTCACTAAAGAGGAATGCTAGGGGAGCAGAAGAAGTGGGAGTCAAGGGGATCTGCTACGAAGGATACAGTTAAGTACTTAGATGGGTGAGAAGTTGAAATCGGTGGTCTTGGCAATTTGTAAGTTGGGCGGGCGCTGAAAACAGTATAGCCAGCGACAAAAGTTTGTGAGAAATAGCCTCCATATGTGGAAAAGAAAAAAAGCATAGATCTGAAGCAACTACTTAGAACAGACGATATTCTGACACTACGGCAATTTTCCACGCAGTATCGGCAAAACGTCACTGGCAGAGAATGATCCAGGACAGTACTTGCAACATACCACTTGCGATAGAAGGAGGCGTTAGGAACCTTCGCACTCGAATTGTAAAGAATGTCAGAGAGCAGGAAGAGACGGGCAATAAGAGCGGATACGGTAGTAGCTGGTCGAATGGTAGTAGCGCCCTGATCTTCTGACTTTTCGCCAGACTTCTCCTTGCCTTCTTTTGCAGCCGACTCACCTTGTGAAGCCGGTCTTAGTGAGGCCGCAATCAAGTCAGCAATGTCATTGGCGGATTCAGCGTGCTCCAGGCACCACAGCATCAACTCGCCCAACTGTGACTTACTTGGTTCTAAGTCATTGATCCAACTAGTAAGACGGTTGCGCTGGGCCTCAGTGAGACCAGTGCGTCGGGAGTTAGCTGCAGAGTCACTATCTAGTCGTTCTTCGGTGCTGAAAACAAATCAGAAAACGAATAAAAACACAGTTCAGAAATAAGCCGTTGACAGACAGCAGCATAAACAGGAAAAGACCTAAAAGGCGATTTAGTCGAGAACTGGGTTTCCTGCTGGACGCTGTTCATCAACTCAACGCATCGGATATTTGTAAGATCAATATGAGGCAAAATATGTCCAAAAAGTATTTATGCATTTTCAAGTCTGTGGTATGCATGGTAAAAGGTCGCGGTCAGCCACCGCGTATGTTAAAAACAGGCGGTTTTAGGTTCGATCTACTGGACAGTTTAGTTACTTGCGTTGCTGGTCTGAAGGGCAGCAACTTTACGGCACATCGATTACTGCGCCCGACTTCGCCCTCAGCTACCTTGACAGTGCCTTGTTGTTGGTTCATTGCGCGACGGTGAGTGCCATTTCCTCACTAAAATAAACCTAACGCACTTTTGAACTGCCAACATGAGATAAAAGTTGAGACCTAGGAGGTTCTCAATCGACAAGCTAATTCAGTACTCCGAAATGACAGTTAGACTATAAAAGTCTCCTTTTATAGTTGCCGTATTGCAGCTTTCACTGAAATGAGATTCGAGCGCGTGAAGTCCCTTCCTTGCAGCACGCATAGGTAGCAGCATTGTCGGGTGAGCCAATGCACCCAGGTCAATTCACAGCCGTCCGTACTCTTTTACTAGGGGAACACGGCGTGTGTGGGAGGCTGAACAATTAATCGCCAATGACTTGATTGTGGGGGTGCGCGTCAAGTGACTAATTATCATGTTGACCAAGTCGCATGCTTAACGAAACCGGGTCGTACATGATCGTTTTCCTTGAAAAATACTAAATTCTTTTAGTACGATCAAATAAACAAGCTTCTGAATTGATATTTGCACTCACATTCTCGATTTGGCATACCGTCTAACGAATGCATGTCTTGTTTGAGACACTGGAAAGCGAATGTGCCATTTTTCTCGAATCTATTGGCAAGCAGTTTGCCCTTCTTTTTATTATAGCAGTATTTCGCTGTTTTCAACTCGTGGGATGCTGGCTGTTGCCTAGTATAGACTAGTGCTTGGGCCTCCGAAGACCAAGGCTTTATGCGATCACCCACTGGCCGTAAGTGCGAATGTAAAACTTTCGTGTCAGAAAATAATCATAACCACGTTTCCCTGATAGAGGGCCAGCTCGCCTTAACGAAATACGCACTCTATCGCGATTTTAATAACTTATAATAAACGCTTTTGGTCGGTTCAGCTGCTTACGCGTAGTTATTATGCTAGCATAAATCGAAATTTAGGATACCTACAGCGGGGACTTCGCATAAATGTTGTCAATTTAAACAAGGTTAATCGATGTCTTCCGTTTTTTTTAAAAAAACTAGACAACTATTAAAGCGAAAATCTGTTGAAAACTAGGAAAACGACACGTAGGCGTACTGCACGGAGGTTTCGGTCAAAGTGATGCTATGTTGGCTCTGAGAAGTTTGCGAGTGGTTATCGTGGAATAGTCGATATTCTTTAATAAAATAAGCAGTCACAACCATCAGTCGAAAATGTCCCTTTTCTCTCCATATAGAGTCACCTAGCTGACAAGCAGGATAACAATTACTCACTAGAGTGCTTCCTCCGAGATCCGGTGGCTGCAAGGTTGGGGAACGTAACTGGCGGAATACGGGTAGTCATCCTCTTCAACCAGATAATCCGGCATCCCATTTGTGAAAAAGTTCATCGGAGGTGGTCGCCAGAGAGGTCCACCTTCAAACATGCGAAATTCTTCTGGACTCCACTTTGTCAGGGACTCACCCTGAACGGATGAAACAACGATGAATAAGTGGGAATGAAGAAATCAGAGGGGCATGCCAGCAGACTGGGTTTGTGAACTTCCTCAAATTGTCCGGTCATGTAGCTTAATTCCGGAAAATTAATGGTACTTAACATTTTAAGTAGGCTTTATTGGTACAACTTCAAAACGTCTGAAACTACCAAGACTTCGCGAAGACTGAAGTGCCTGGGTTCAGTCAGAATTTTAATGTGGACGCAACTAGCTTCAGGGGAATAACCTCACGCGGTCGGCAAGTCTGCCGTACAACCACAGACACGCCTTAAAGCTGAGGTAGTGCAAGTAGCTACAGATGATCCAGACACCTAACAGTTGCGTCACGCAGTCATAGACAATCTGCAAAGTCATAGATCTCGGTGGGATTCAAACCCACGACAGTAAGGTGAAGGTTTTAGTACAGCCAACGCTCTTACCACCTGAGCTACGAGACCCCGCCGAACGACGCGAATTTAATGACATTTGGGTCAAGTTACCCAGACTACGTCTGGAATTCACCAAATCTGATACTGTAAGTCGACTAGCCAGGCAGGATTTCCCAAGTAATTGACCAACCGTAAAAAACTCGACGACGACTTTTTCACAGTCGGGTCAATATTAATTATTCAAAATCTGCCAAAAATTTATCAATTACGTGAAGCCTGGTAGCCATCTGGTGGATTCTAGATGATTTACTTAGGAAATCCTGCTTGGGCAGTCAACTTACTGTATCAGATTTGGTGGATTCCAGACGTTGCAGTAGGTTGGGCGGGTAAACTTGACCTAAATGTGATTAAACTCGAGTCGTCCGGCGGGGCCTCGTAGCTCAGGTAGTTAGAGCGTTGGCTGTATTAAAACCTTCCCCTTACTGTCGTGAGTGCGAATCCCACCGAGGCGACGATTTTTTCACAGTTGGGTCAATATGAACCTGCAAAGCGGTTATCAGGGCTTTTGGCTATAACCTGTAATGGGGCATAATAAAAGGACTTTAGGTCACCCCTGGTAAACTCTGTCAATGGTTTTCGTGGCCATACTGCAACTCCGTGAGCTCTATAGGCTTCCGACCTAAGTTTTTCCTTCAGTGACTGCTCATAAATGGTAAAGCTTACTTACGATGAAAAGGTGGAAAAATAAGAGTGGGTCGCACAACAAATGCAGAAGGCATGATGTCGCGGAGATGGTTACTACTTGGTACGGTTCGGGCTGTTGGTGATCGTCGCCCTATTGCCAACCCTACCGCTAACTTCTTTTTACACTGACTAGGTGTCCCAGTGCAGAGCTTTGCTTTTATATCAGTACAGAAACACAAGCTAAACGAAAAATCCGTCACTCTGACTGGGGCTTTGGAAAAAATGCCGGAACCAACGTTGTACAAGAGTTGCCAAACAACGTTCTGCAGTCTTTACTTCACCAGGCGATAGTCGACTGTCTAACTGAAATTATTTCCACCCCTGTAAGCTGGTTTTAAGACGGACTGGTCAGCTAACAAGTGGAGGTTATTTGCGATGTGCTGCAAAAAGCTCCCTCCTTATCCACGTAACAGTACTACAACGATGTGATTAACAAAATACTAGTTAAGATTAGTGCGACAAGTAAAAATAGGACAGGCCTTCAGGGATGTTATGACTAGTAAATATGTAAATCTCAATCGACGATGACCACAACCATCCAGGAGGGCGCGGTGATGCATCAATTCGCTTATGGTGATGGCCTGCAAAACATCGGCCTCCTTCTCTTCCAACACTCATCATGTCCCAACGCTGCAGCGGCTGGCAAAGCTAAAAGGTGTACGTTTTCAACTCTACGCGAGCTACTTCTCAGTGAAAGGGTTCCATATCTCACAGGCGAGAACGCCATTTGAGATCTCACATAGGCGTGAATGTCATTTAAGATCTCACAAAGGGGTCATTGTTGCTTGACCTCCAGTTCTGAGTGAAACCGTGCCGTCTAACCTGTTATAAACCTTCCAGCTCATGATTTACAGCGCGTCGTGATGGTTTAAAAAGTACATTTAGCTCTATGGCTAGATCGACCTCAATCCCCCCCCCCAATACCGTGTCCAACTGTTTTGTTCGAATCAAACCGACTGGGAGGATTACACTAGGGACGGCATGAGAATAAAGTCTCCGTACCACACGCAAACTCACAGAAGCGTGTAAGTGCCGTGAATGCGAACGCAGCTTGCTCGCCCTCGACCAACATAAGTCCACAGGCATTGAAGCTTACTGACGAACAGGGCTGTAAAGTCGTGTGTGTCCTGTTGAATTCTCTCTTAGTAAAGGCAGAACACGAGCGGCGCCGGAGCGACAATTCCGATTGAACAAAGGCCGTTAAAACGACGTAGGGTCCCCGCCACCATATAAAGATATTCGGACGTTTCCAATGTGACTATCAGAGCGACACAAGGTTTTGAGTATCATCCAGCCCTATTTAACCTTAAGTCCTTCCTAGTGTTTATTGAGCCCAATCTTATGAAACAACCCGAAATAGACTTCAATAAACGCATAGGTGGCATGTTGTACAACCCGCCGTCAGTGCAAGTCAAACAGATTTTGGAGTGCAGAAGTGGTTCACGTGTGCAGCAAAATACTGACAGTCACAAACTGCACGCTGTTGGAGTGGCCACGTTGTGCGGGTGTTCGACCAATGCCTTTCAATACGATCGTACAGAAAAAAATCGACGTAGAAACAAACTGTTGAAATTCCACAACTGGAGTATCCACTCGAAGATACACGGAGAACGCAGGGGGACCCACGGATGAGCCGAACCCTTTGCAGCTGTCATGCTGCGACAGGCAATCAGCAAAACACGTGTCTGGCCTCTCAGTTGTGCTGTACAGTGAGTCATTACAAATATAATGCCCAGGGAGTACGCTGCAATCTTCGAAGATATATCAGAGTTTGCTACACATCCTGGCGGACATTCGCGCCGGAGTGGCTGGGTTGGCAGTCTGCCATGATAGTGGGGTTAGCAACTGTTAAAGCTGAAGAATATTGGATGTAGAAGGAAGACGAATATAATGTAACACCGACAACATATTCTGATACGTCCCCACTCAGAAAGCCCACTTAATGGCCAGACTGAACTCTATGGGCACCGCATTCACAACGACAGGATGATGATCGCCCTTGTGTTCGAGGGGAATTAGCGCCAGGAGATGCGGGCATATTGAAAGTTTGAGAAAAAAGCATGTCTGGATAAGTGGCGTAGGAAGAAGTTGGGAAGTACTAGTGCAAAGAACATTATGCACGTAAACGCAGGACAAAACAAGCCAGCAGTCAATTCTTCTTACATGAAGTACAGACCATAGCTTCCATCGGTAGTACAGGTGCTCCGGTGTCTGAAAGTCGAAAAGAAACCTACAAAATGTTTTTGCGACAAGAAGACAGCACGTACCTGAACTGTGGGTTCTTCTCCTCTCGATGCATAATAGCCGCCTCAAACTGAGGACCCTCACGGACAACAAATTCGACCATACGATGAATCACAGCAAGCAGAGACCTAAATAAAAGAGGGTGAGAGGGCGTTGGTCGAATATGCGCTCGTTCGAAATTACCTGTCGGTTGGGACCACGACCTTGACTATGGCTTGCGAAAGCGTCTAGAAAAAAACCGCATGCATGTTAGTTTTCAGATAAAGAAATCAAAAATTATAGTAATGAAGCCTGTCGGTTTGTACGAATGTACTGTGAGCATTTGTTGGCATTCAACAACCATATTTCGGAAACGACCGGGCTGAACACTTCAGTACCAAACAAAATGCTTGACTAAAACTACTAAGCCCGAAAAAGTTGTGTACGTCGAGTCAGCAATTGTAAAAAATGGCATCATCAGCTTAAAAGAAGAGCCTGGTTTCGATGAGTCAAAGGGCTGTGCTACTCCACTTTATGAGCTTGTTTTAGCTTACTGTTACTGGTGACGACATTCATCGTTACTTATTTATCCGACCCTATTCTTCAGGTTGGGTGCACCGCAAACTGTCCCCTCCCACAGTGGTCGGCCAGCGCCTAACCCCTGAGCGAAGTTGAGCCAGTTGGCAAATCAGTCATGCAGATCACGGGGACGACGGATGCTTTTAGGCCGCATTGCAGCCTGCCAACTAACGTCCAACTCGATGTCATCGCCAACGAGGACCGGGCTCGAGTCAAGTGACACCAAAGATTTTCTCTTCAGATCGAAACAACACACGACCGAGCACTCTGAGTTGGCTGGCAGGGAGTACATTTGAACGGTATCCTTGACCGGTAGTATAGCTGTCGCTTGCGGCGTAACTTATTGTGCCAATTGCAATAGTGGTGGGCAAGAACCGCCGGCCAAGTATTCCTCCGAGATGGATGACTTTTGAGGCTCAAGGGTTATTTCCCATCCTCATAGGATATTGCCTTGACAAAAGGCTCGTATATGCGCAGATTGGTATTCGGACTGATTTACAAGATCAAGTATATGAAGGCAGTACTTAAAACGGATGTAATGGTCGGTCCCATCTTTAAAGTGTCCCTTTGGCAGGGAGTTCGATTAGTAGCAGCAGGCATTGCCCACTAGCCTAGGAGTTTCATCGTATACCGTGGCTGGGTTCATATCTCCAACAGCGAAAACTGAAATCCCTATTTCCGTCTTGGAGTTCTTCTTCAGACTCAACTCGGATCTCTTGGCACTTAAGTCGGCAAAGGCGGGCGGAATTCAAGCAAAGGAACTCGCCAGCAGCCAACAGCCGGAATACACAAAGCCGACGTGATGTAACACCAGGGCAGTCGCCAACGCGTGCTGAGGACTCAAGCCCACTATCAGCGAACAGAGTTGGTGAGTGCATAGCCCTGATAGGAAGCAGGAGTGAGACACCAGGAGTCGCTCTCCTCATAACTACCAGGGACTTTAGTCTTCGTTCAGTGATGGTAGTCTTAAATCAAGCAGAGCAACTTCAGTAGCATATGTGAGCACAGGAACTCGAGTACAGTAGAGCCCATGAAACGCACACGCCAATACCGTACAGTGGTGGTCATCATTCTTTACATGGACAAGCCATAGGGAGGGGAAAATGCAATTAATATACGAATGTCGGTAAGACGAGAAGGTTGACTAAGGTGTTCTCGGACGAAAGTCTCACTGACAACAACTAGCAAAAGAGGCGCTGGTGTATTTCCAGAGTACTCGAGCACTGTTAAAGTCTGTTTAGAGACGGGGACAAGTTTTGGTAACTTTTTCGAAGAATAATCACTTGACGATCCGGATTCTTTTTGCAGCTGGATGTGAGTCAAACAGGAAAAAGGAAACGGGGAGGATCCTGAAAGCCAAGCTACCTAAAAAATGTCATTATGAAATTGGCAAAAAAAAAACACGGCTGAGCCGAAAATGTCTTAATTTCCTTCTTGAATTATAAAAGCCTACCTTATCTAAGGCTTCCTTAGACATAGTATGAATGTTGAATGGGGTTCGGTCAACAGCCGGAGGAATTGGGGGAACCGATGAGTTTGAGTTGCCTTCGGTAACCGATTCGGTAACAAGTTTTGCACGTTCTTTCAATGCAGATCGGACGGATTTCAGCCACTCTCTGGGTTGGGCGTTGAAAGGCAGTCCACTCTGCGAAGGAGGTTTGATTAGTTCCAGGAGAGGAGGAGGAATATACACAGGATAAGCTGGGATTGGTACGTTTTTACCCCATCCCAATTTCATTTCATAGCCTAACAGTTCTTTCCCTAGGTGCACGTATAAACAGGTTAGCAGAAAGAGACATTAATGGGGTAAGGAAATGGTAGTACGATAAGGCAGGAATTACAAACATTCACAAGGCACCAAAAATAAGGAAGGATAGACGTTCGGTAAACCGGGTAGTTTACACAATTTCAGGCTTGGAGGCGTACGCACGACAATCCGTAACACAGGTGAGCTCAAAAAATGATGAATTTAGATTGTGGAGAGAAAGGACAACGGCTTTGGGATAGTTAAAAAGGATATAAATTTAAGATATGTCCATGCTCTGTGTCGCCGAGTTTTGTGTTATGTTCTTAATTGAGGTTATAAAGGGTTGCGGTACGACTAGCTAGATAAGTGCTGATTTGGCAAAAATTTGGGTGATCTGGGTGAATTAATGAGAAAAACCCGGGGACAAAACAGATGGCTGGTCTCCTGGGGCATACTAAGCTTGAACTAGTCCTCAAACCTAATGAGTAGAGTTAAGAAACGGAGTGATACACGAAAGCTATGTAACATACACCGGAAACTCACCTCGAAGACGTTCCATAGCCCGTTCACTGTCAACTCGGTTCATAAAAGCTACAAACCCACAGTTACGGGCAACGGCACGCTGTTCTTCTGTTCTAGGCCACATAATTTTTACACTGGCCAGTGGACCGTATCGGCCGAATACTTCGCATAGCTGTTGTTCTGTCATCTGGTGGAAAATGAAACAATGAGGGCAGGTGAATTGGGGAAACATACCTGAGGACAGAGGTTTCCTAGAAAAAGATTTGTCGTTGTCCTGTCGACGTCATAGTCGTAAGGATAATCAACTACGATCAAGAATTAGCATTTCCGATAAGGAAAACATACGATCTCGCATTCTATCGGAGATCCCTCTTCTGCCAAAGCCCAAGGACTGGTCTATCATAGAATCTTCAAAATCATAGTCAGATAGGTGGGAATCTGAAGGGCGACTCCGAGAACCCGGAAGGTCGCGGGAGGCATTAGCTGCATTTGCGGACGCACGACTCTGATGGCGCTGTTGGCGTTGTTCCTGAATCCTAGTCAAAGAGCAATTAGGTCAGCTCAGACAGCTTACACTTTGAGTTCTTCCTTGAAAAGCTCAAGATTCGATTTCTTCTTAACTTGACCGGGCTTCTTCCCCAAAACCTGTTTCGGGTAAAGTAAAAAAGGCAGAGACGCTTACAGGTTTCTTCCCACCCTCAGTTTTGGGTTCGACCACGCCTGTCTCCAAAGTCCTGGGGGTCTTATCACCAAACTTCTGAGTTGGCTTATATAATACGGGACCGGAACTGTCGATTTTAGCTTCTGAAAAGGGCTATTTGATAAATAAGCATAAAGTACCTTCACTTCCCGGGTTGACTACACCACCTTTGACCCACGTCCGGTCCACCTTGCTTGGCTGTTCGAAGGTTTCTACGAAGGCTTGGAGAACTTCGGCTGTTTTGGCCTCTTCATCCTAAAGCATGAAAAACCATAATATCTCCACCAACTTTTGAGAACATTTTAAAAGGTTCAGAAAGTGTTGGTAAGCAATGAAGTTATACATGAATGACTAGCAAGGCCCAAGGTTTACTGCAAGCAGACACTGGTCTACTGAAATCTACTGCGTTCAACGGCAAATTGTGGTCTATTTTGGTTTGCCACTTAGTACGTATTCGTTTAAATTGACACTAGACAATGGCGAACTATCTCCGACGCTTTTCAGTATCGGTAGGCCGTGTCCCTGGTTTACGTGAAAGGGAATACGGGTGCGGTTTGCAGGTCTCTCCTTTCAGATCACCCCTTCGACTCGATTGGTTTGACTTTTCCTTAGAACCGCTCAGGGTTCCGACTTAACCCTTCGAAATTCACCGAAATTGACCTGACCGAACGACATGACTTGCGTCTTTAGATTTTGTGCTGACCTCAAGAGGCTTCTGACAAAAGAAACCAGAGAAGTGCTTCCAGTGATTAGCTTGAACCATTTCACATCAAAAATGAATGCTCGCCTACTACTTTTATTAGAGCTGCTATTAAGTTACGGAAGGACTAGAACAGACTACCACGCTGACTACAGAGTACACTTGCGTTGTGCAATGATTCTATTTGCAGTCCCCTTATCACTAGGTGTCCATTTAAAACAGACCTGAGAACCTGAGGAAAACAGATAATTACGCCTGTGCCGGTCGGACTTGGTCTTGACTTGCAGACTGCTAGCCTTCGAAGTCGGTCTACCAGTCTTTTAAGTGCAAATTTTCCAATACCCACCGGCAGTGGCGTCGAAAAACCTTCGACTTCCTCTTCCTCCGGAAGAGAATTTTGGTGTTTAGTTGGTGCATTTTCCAAGATTAGTAGAAGAGATGTGTATTGCGGGTCGGATTCTATCCCCTTGTAGGTAACAGCTCGCAATGACACCTTTCAGGCACCAAACGGTCCGCTGGCCAGTCTTTAGGACGAGACAGCGAAGTCTGGCTTCAACACGAGCGGTCTCTGCTCTATTCCCCACTTAACTGCTAGGCGCTGCAAAGACCTACTCTTTTATGATTCATTTCCGACTTATTAGGAGTTCAGAATCGATTGTACAAGCTTACTGAACGGACGACTTCAAATAAAAGCATCGAATATCTTTAATCTTGACTAGATTTTCTTCAATCCTCTCTGTTAATTTGCGCCAAACACAGACGGTTAGAGTGGAATATACGTACATAAACAAGCCAGAATGGCATCAGGTCTGAGATCCAGATCGGTGGCAGACACTCGGATAACGAAAAGGAAGTTTATCGTTAGTTATTTCAAACAGTCGACGCAAACGCAGTAGGCCGTTACACAAACCCCGCATGCGTTGCTGTCAGAAAGCTGTCAACTTCTGGCTAATGGAAATAACCACACCCATGGACCAGACTCCAAACGTCGATGACATCTGCCAAGTCAGTGGTGGGTCCCCTGCACTGAGACTCACTGTCACGTAAACGGCGATTTCGCTGCTAACACCTCGGTCAAAGTCGAGCACTCGCACGAGCACTTTGAACGTCTTCCCAACCGCAATAACAACCACCCCTCACTCTACCCTCAGGAGCAAGATTATGTCTTTTTTCGGCCCATGTGCGAACGTTCGCCCCCTAAAAAAGCGCAGAAGAAATACTGGGCTGGACAAAAGCGAGGCGTATGGTGAGACCGGTACTACGGCCGAAGTTTCCGTAGATTATGGCTTCCCAGCTCCACCATGTAAGTGAGCAAATATGAGACAAAGTCGTTACAGGTGACTAAGGCTCGGTATTTCTGAAACGACTTTTACCGTCAACTCCAAGCAGTTTCAAAGTATGCGCAATACGAGGACACAACCAAACCGGATTCCAAGCTGGATGTCGATGCATCGACCAAACCTGCACTGTGGAGCATTCGTGAAATCCGTCGTGGCTACCAGCAACTGACTTCCGTCTGAAAAGATAGGCTCACCGGAACGGGCTTATTTGGGCGCTGACGTTTCGAACAGCTTGGTCGGCTCCCCATCATTAAAGCGTAAAATGCACTTGATCGACCAGAAATCTCAAGTGGCATGTCGTGTTGGTCGGCCTCATGCTGGTCAATTTTCATCTTCTCCAGCTGCCTCGGCCTCTCGGGGGATGGTTGGCGGGCGTTTTATCTGTGTGCTTTGTGAGTCACCGCTTCGTCGGGGGAGCTGATTGAACCTTCGTCGGATGGTCAGTCCGGTGGTTCTTCCTCGCCGAGTGGACTCGCCGTCGGCCTGTCTACATATGGCCTTCTCAAGGCAAGTGTGCTTACTCGGTGCTGAGTTCTACGGGCGTGATAACGTAGGACTTTGTAGGCTGCAGGAAGGTCCAGATGTCTGTTGATAAAGTTGGCATCGCAGTACCAAGCCTCGAGTGTTAGCCGTTCTGCTTCTGTGTTGTCCCGGCCTAAGATGGTAGCTCTCTGAAAACCGAAAGTATGTCCAGTTTCTCCAACGTGTGTTGCTAATTGAGAGTTTGGATCTGGCCTCCGAGTGGCCGATGTATGCTCTTGTAGTCGGGCCTGCAATTTCCGCCCGGTCTTCTCAACATAGTTGCAGTCGCCCTCATTGCAACTTATTTTGTAGACAACTCCTGAGATTTCAGCGGGTGGCAGTGTGTCCTTAGGTTGCATCAGACTTAGATTGCGACAGGCTTCCGTCTGTTTTATTGACTTAGCTGAATTCAGTTACGTGGTCGATAAAGCGGATAGTCGGTACGAGGAAAAAGTATTGTTATGATCAAACCCCCACTATCGATCCACCGTTGCATGGGTCCGCGTCGATAACAACCTCATAACTATTCAATATTCGATTTGGCGCTTATTAAACATAGTGTTTCGGGTGGAAATCGTCAAATGGCTCGATTTATTCATCAAGAGTATCAATAGAAAGGTATCCTCGGGCCACATCTGTGATGAAAAAACGCCCCTCGTGGTTAATGGCCGTAAGCTGAAGTTGGATAACTACAAAAATCTCGGGACAAGTCTTTACTAAACGGACAGAATGAGAGCACAGTCATTTGGATGCATGCTGCTCGCATGCTGTGCAAATCTTCAAAGGCCATTATGGACTTCTTGAGATAACTCAGTTGTCGCAGATAACCCCCTGTACCGTGCATTCGTTCGGCCAGCCCTCCTTAACCGTTTAGAATGCTGGGTCGTGGGCGTAGAAGACAAGCAGAAACTGGTGTTTGCCTAACGATGGATAAGAATGTTCCTTTTTGAGAATCACAACGACTTTATTTCAGACGAGTAAGCTAGTCCTCGCTGTGACAATATCACGCGTATAGTTCAGGCCATTTACAGAAGACGTCTGAGGTGACTTGGGCACGTCCATTGTCGCACGTCCTACGAATGGGATATTGCTAATTTCAATCTGACACAACGAGCCAAATGGGGGCGGTGAACGGGTCAGCTCAAAATCTTGCTCAACAGTGCCTACCTTGACAGGCGATTCTCGAAATTCGGCATTTAGTATTTATCGTCGGGGAAGACAACAAAACGAGCTCGCAGGATCCGCTGTAACTGATCATGGCGCATGCGAAGCACTACCTACAACTGCACTGAAGCTAGCTAGACTAGACATAACTAGGAGCTGCATCAACCAGAAGCAGTTCTGGTCTGTAGAGATTGGCCAAAAAATCCCAATTGCCCGTTTAACCACGAAAACCACAGCTAAGAATCCTTCAGAATATTTTCTCTTGATTATGTGAAAATTGCCCTTTGTTGAACCAACGAATCTGGAGAAGGGTGACTATTAGAACACATGTTAATATGTCGGCGAAATTCAGTTGAGACACTCCAAAACAATATTTAAAGTGCAGGCGATATCCGGATACTTAACTGTTAGTGCGCTAAGTAAACTTAGCGAAGTGCATCACAAATGTCTGTCTCACTGACTTGGCAGCAGCGCTGGGTCCAGTATATGATTATCTACGACATCACAACTGATGTGAGTCAACTGGCGCGGACGCAGGCCTTTGTCAAAAGTAAAACCAACTAAATTCGCAGCGGTGCTGCTGTTATCTCGACAACCCCTTGCAACTGCGTCATTGCCTGGATACTTTGGTCGAAGTGAGTCATATGTTGTATGGATGAAGTGAAGCCCGTGGCGTGGGCAGCAATGTCGCCGGTTCTAAAAATTCGCTGGGTTGCATTCCTGGCAAAGATAAAGTGCTTCTCCACTTCAGCGTCCCAAACGTAGCGGAAACAGGTCCATTTTGGGTCACGTGTTTCGAATGGACAAGGGAGAAAGATACCGTTTAAATCGACTTGGTTAATCGTCTTCGAAAGAGCCAACACAGCCACTATGAAGTCATCGTCAAAGTCTATGTAAACGAGGCAACTTTTCGAACTCAGTTCCTGTTTTGTTCCAAGTCCCGAATGACGGTTGAAAAGCTAAAGCTGGGTGTCTGTTCCCGGCATCTCAGAAATATTCTACCTCCACAGTACATAAGTCGTGTTATAGGGACATGGGAGAAGTCTCCAAGTTATTTTGGAGGTGGCAGTTAAGGTAGTACGGGTACAATCAAACGATTCTGCGTCCATTGATATGAATTCTCAACGGACCTGTCAGTGCAGACGGTTAGATGGCCAGGCTCAAAAGGAGTATTTTGCTACCAGACCCTTGTAATGGACCAGAAAATGGATGAGAAACCTGTGACTAAGTAAAACCTCGCAAATTTTGTTCAGGTGCGAATTATCGCTAACACAGAGCTGTGACGGAGCACGTTAAATGGTAAAAGCGAACAAAAATAGATATCTTAAAAACGCAAATGCAGATTGCGTCAAAGGTGAGCAAAAAATGTTAATAAACTAATTGCACCGCAGCGATGTAAGTCAAAGATGAAAGTTCGAACCTTTTCGACTTTCTTCGCAGCATTTTTACCAGAGTTTAATGGGAGAATGCTAAACCCCTTGGTCTTAGATCGGGACATTGTCACACCCAATCCCTTAAGGACATTCACTTCTGGCGCCCTCAAAGTTGCACGCAAGACCAAACAAAAATTGGCAGAGGTAACTGGAGGGACGCGGGCAAAATCAAGCCGCCAAACTTCAACAACGTCAGATTATTCACTTTCCAAAATGGCTTTCTAGCTCTTCTGTACAAATATACGCTTAAGATCAATCCATGCTTCCTAAATCGTCGCTCCCGATGCCGCCGAAGCCTCTTCAGACTGTCGGGCCTTCAATTAATTGCTGCTTAGAGGGTTGGCGGTTCAAGGTTGTAAGAGAATGAATGAATTTTCCACCTTTCATACTTCACATCAAATACCCTTCGCCTTTTTTACACCTGTATCACTCATGCACTGTTCAACTGCCTGATGTTCGTGTTCTTCTATGGTCGGAAACAGGACAACAGAAAGTTTTGGGTCACTCATTTATTCTGACATACATTTATTACTTACTTCGCCCTCTCAACTCAACACCGTTTTTGATGCGTTTCTTTCCGTTTTTCGACGGTAAACATCACGTCAAACGGACCCTGTGCGATTTCTGGCACATAATGTGACCGAAATTCGAAGCGCACGCCCTGATTAATCACAACAACATACATTTTCTGTCGTTTGTACCTGCTTTTGTATGCCTTTTTAGCGCCTTTATTATAGTTCTGATAACCTGTTAGAATTTCCCGTGCAAAATTTTAGGAGGTCTGCTTTAAACGATGTGTTGTCCTTTCCTTTAATTCGGACTTAATAGCCCACACGCACTTGGGGCCACACTTTATTAATACACGGGGATGTACGAATCTTGAGTTGAACCATTAAATCCAGCTAACTCGAGATTTGTTGTAACCGATTAACCCTCAGCTGAGTACTAGGCTCTTTCGCATCTGCAAAGTTGTTTGAAAATGAAGCGTCGAAATGTCCTGCATTAAAATACCTTAGTTAATATGCGATAAGCTACAGACACTATGATGGTCTAGGAAAATGGGGCTAGTAAGTATGACACTGGCTCTTTGGCTAACAACGCTCTACTCTTGTTTATGTATATTGCCCCTTCCTCCAAAATGGATTTCAAAAGGATCATCTGTCTGCAAGCAGCTTCAGTCAGTCCAAGTAAATCTAGAAGTATACTGCACCCGACTCTTCCAGACCCGATATAAACGTTTTTAGGCTGAATTTAAGAAAATGACGAAGTAAACGTAGACGACGAAAAAATCGTCAAGTATCCACTTATAACTTAGCTGTTGTTACGGTAATCCACGAGTTAATTTTCTGGCGCTGTTACCTCGACTGTCGCTCAGTCAGAAAAACTGCTAGAGCTCCGGTATATATTGCAATTAAAGCAAATGAAGGGTGTCTGATCTCATTCAAATCATTTGGGTGTTGCAAATCTTTCAATGTAAGCTAGATTGGGATTGTCCTCCAAATCATCATTTAGTATATTGGTTAAATTCTGAGTTCTTCTGCGTTCTCCAGTTGAATGCTAAATCCAGGAGTCGAAAATCCCATTTGGTTTCTTTGCGTTCCATTGCGTGATACATATTAGCTTCGAAGTAGTACTGAACAAATTTCTTCACTTCTGAGTTTCTCAACTTTCCATAATTGCATCATGTACCACTGATACCAAAGTGGTTTAGAGAACTGTTTAGGCATATCTATTAGTGCACTTCTCAAAGCATACTAGGATACAAATAAAAAGGGTTAAGTGGGATTGAGGGGTGTAAAGTCCAAAGCCAGGAGAGACCTGAGATTTGAATCCTGGCTAGTACTTTTGAGAACAGACGCTCCAGCACTCCATTTGTGAGTCTCTGGCTCTATGAAAACACAAAGTGGAATTACACTTTAGATGGGTTGCAGCAAATGAGTCGCCCGTTTTCCTTTACCTCCAAAATCTCATAAATAAACTTTCATGCATAATCTGAGTACCCGCGTAAAGTAATAAGTAATGGGCTGTTTCGAATGTTTGCCGAAAGCACAAAATTCTCTCAACGCGTGACTCAATGAAAGCAGAGCGAAACAACTAACGAACGGTGGATAAAATACTAGTGCATGTGGACAAAAAACTAGACGGGCAAAGATATGTTTACCTCATACAGGAAAGTTCTTTCGTAAGTCAAGACAATGTTTATTGGTGTTAGCGACTGCGGAGACTACGCGACCGTGACATGTTAGAACCAGCGATATTTCGCTGCATGTTCCAGTGCTGTTTGACTTTGCGTACGCTATCTGATCATACTCATCGCTCACTCTGGCTTGAAGCAAAAAATTAGACGATAAAATGTCTCTTCTTTTTGGCAAGGATTCTATTTCAAGGAATTTGTGGAGTAGTTTATTAGATGTCACACTAAACAAAAACAAAGCGAAGACAAAACGCTGCTCTACGCTCCGATATTCTTATGCTAAACACACATTCGCTAAGGGATCAGTTCCTAAAAGACATCACGCAATAGTGGAAAGAACACCGCAACGGACCTGTGGATTACCCAGCTCGGAGCTGTAACTACAACGAGGCGACGTTCACATTCTTGTTAGGGGGCTTTGTCAAGTGTAAGAGTCCAATGTGCAGCTTGTCACATCCATGGATGACATTTGCTAATCCCTCGTGTGTCCAAGGCAAGGCACAAAAGTTAGTTGTGCGTAAACTTTTCCGTAATGAGGCAGAATTATGACTTATCCTCCACATTCTCTTATCGTGCTCTGATGGCAAGATAAATTCCAGATTGCCGCAGGGGGGCATGCGCACAATGGCTGACGGAGCCAGATGGCTCGTCTTCTCGTGCCCCATGCAATCTGGTTCCCACCACACATGACCCGGACTGCATTATTCGACAGTTTCCAATTCACATATGCGACGTCTTGCCCGTCCCTCGGGTGTTGTCAGCTCGCGCCCAAGAGCTTTGCATGAGCGTTTTATGAGGTGTTGCTGATACTTTTAGTGTGTACGCGTGTGATTGATCCGGGACATGTGTAGCAGAAGGGAGTTTTTTTGCGCATATACGGTGAAGTGTTTGGAGGTGGTCTAAACCGTGCTGTTTTGCTTTATCATTTCTGTGGGCGCATGTGGCCAGGAGGACTCATGTGGGGTCTGCATGTTCTCGGAAGTGTGAGCCCGTGAACCGTGTGTGACAGAGGCGTGTCAGAGCCTCAGGCACTTGTTCTCCTGCCATACTGAGACAGATTCACAGATAACCGTCCATAATGATGAGTGATTTGGATGCGACGTCCTAATGTGGTTGGCAGTGAGTTCACAGTACTGTTGGAAGGTGTGGCGGTTGGCGGGGTGACAGGGGTGTCCTCACTGTTTATGCTATTAGTGACGTTTTGTGAGTTGAGAGAAAGACTGGTAGGGTTGATATTTCTTTGTGCCCGATATTCGAGGAAGCCATTTGTTGTCCTGAATATCCGTTGAACCCGAGTCTGATGGCAGGATCTGAGTGTTTACGTCATCTGTCCGCCTCGAGTCACTCTTTTGAGCCCTTACTTTCACACTAGTCGTTGCCATACCGTGGATAAAAGATGGTTGTCACAGTCTCCACAACAGTGCCACACGCCTGTCGATCCTTATGGAGGTTTTATTATGTCTCAAAACAACTTGAAAGTGTCTAATGGAATTCTTGCGTTGTCCTTGTATCGGTGCCTTTATTACTTTTGTCTGCGAGCACCCGTAGGGACGTTACTGTTGAATTGCCGTCTTAATAGTTTTTTCATCCATCGACACGAAGTGGCTACTCCAATGCAATTACATTTCCCTCGACATGGCGTATATACTGAGCACGTCAGTCCTTTCACAGACCTCTGTCTGACACTCTTTCCTGCCGCTCCCCGTTTTTTGCATTTTTCTGAGGTAGTTGAGACGAAAATGATCCAGTTGCTGTTCTTGGCTTTCGTAGACGGTCCGTGTCCCCGTCGCGTACAACAGCATAATCAAGACATTTCTGCATACTTTTAGTCCGCGCTGTACGGGCTATTGTGGCAGTTCTAAACAATTATTAGTGCCCGCTGGTGACCTGTCAAACTTTAGAGATTCCAGCGATGGTGGTGTCATCGACTTTAATGTTTCTGGAAATTGTGCTCCCTGGACGCATGAATTTGTTCATAGTATTAATCCGATGAATATCTATCACGAGCGCGTTAAGGACATTATCTAAAGTCGATTGACGCCTGTTTTCTATCTTCTCCACGCTAATAGTCATTTCGAGGTTTTAGACGGGAGTGAATGAGTCTACATTTCGCTGCACGTACGATCCTGTTGGGGTTTTAGGTCACTCATCAGCAAACAAGAGATCATGCATACCGACTTTGGGGTCTCATGTGTCCTATTATGCGCAGTTGTCCATCATTTCGGAGATAAAAGTTGATCTCAGAGTGCTTCTCCTGTTATGTGTCAAGCAGAATAACGGGGAACTTGAAGTTGACTTAGATAACAGTTTACTATCCTGATTTATCCCAGATGGCATCACGATTGCCTCAGAAGCTGACTCTTTTTTCGTGACGTCAACCATAATCGGACCGTGCGATTGTCCCCAAATTTGCGCCAAGCCGTCCTGCTATCCAATATCAGCAAACGTTTCCTCATTCCATGGTGACTCGCTGTGCCGAGGACATTGGTCAGATATATGAGGGTAGTATAGAGGCTAGTCCGCAGTTGTTATCAACTTTATTGGAATTGGCGCTCCGAAAAGAGCATATCTGCGGATCTGTAATGTTGTCGGAAGGTGTATGTGCATCCTATGCATGTTCATACGACCCATTATCATTAGAGCGTACATTTTGTCCGTAATTTTGGGGAGAGATGTCTCTGCGGTTATCCCACATTTTATGGTTTTTGCGTTTGAGGCATGGTGCTGTCATCTTTGAATTCTTGTGGGATGTTGCCTTTTCCCTTGCCTCTAAGAGCTGTGCAGTAAGCTAGCTCACGACTTGAGCGTCACTGTACTTATACACTTCAGCTAAACTTGTGCCGGTGTTCTGTGATTTTCCGCTGACAGCCC